TGACTCTGGTTTCAGGAGACCAGAGGGGACACTTTCTCAGCAGGCGAACTGGAGCATTGGAGCTCACCTCTCAGGTGGTGGCACACTCAGCAGGAGCGTGGACTTGCCGTGCTGCCTCCTGCCATCACTGCCCACTGTTCCCAGTCACAACTGCTTGGGGAGATGCTGTGGACCCGATCAGGAAACTTGGTAAGCATAGCATGGGATAACAAGAGAGTGAAATAAAGGGGAAGAAGAAAAAGGAATATCCCTGTCATCTCCCTGGTGGTGTCATCTCCAGGCTGTGTTGCCAGTACAGCTGAGACTGCAGCAGTCTGGGGGTGCTTCCAGGCCTGCTACAAAATATTTTGAAGATTCAAAGCATGACCTTGGACATGTGGAAGGTGCTCTGAGAGTGATGGGAGAAGGGATCAGAAAGAACACTTGTTGAGTATTGGAGAGCTGAGAGGAAACTGGAGAAAGAAATTTGGATCTTGGTCATTTGTGTTGATCTCTTACCTGCTGTGTTGTCTAAGAGGGAATGGTTTAGAAATCCCTCAGCCAAGTTTCATTTGCCTCAGCTGGGGTGCATGTACTTGATGTAAACAGCTGTTCTAGCTCATAGTTTTCAGACTCGTCACATGCATCTTGCCCTGAGGTGATGTGCCTGGAGTCAAGAGTCTGTGGGCTGGCAGTGCTGTAACTCTGCTCCAGGCATCTCTGGTGCTGGGGCACTGATACTGGAGTGTGAGGTAGGGTTGTGCTGCAAATGTCATGACACCCTTCCTCCAGCACCTGCAGGGTTGGGGGTGATGGATGAAAGTGCCAGTTGGGAGCTGTTTTGAGGTAGAGGGTGTTTAGTAGAAAAATGGTTGAGAAATGGGTCTGTCTGGCCTAGCGTGGCACTGGGAGCCACTGGCTGTGATAATGATACTCAAACCAATCTGGGAAGCACTGAATAAAGGAGATTTGAAGTCCTGTTGCAGGTTCTCAGATGTTTTTTTCTGGGGAATGTTTCTCTGTTTTTTTCCTGGGCATTTGCTGTTGGAGTTGATAAGATTTGCCTGGAAGCTGGATGGGCAAGAACATACCAGGCTTGTGTCCTGCTTGGACAATGGCTGGGATCAGCTTTTTTTTTGGGTCTGGATTGTTAGCTGAGCTTTTAGTTTGATTTGTATTTCTGTCAAATACTTGGCTGGATTGTTGTTTTGACTCTCAATTCCTGGTTTTTCTTTCTTGACAGACGCTACAGCAGTACATACTTTGGTGTGTCAGTTGTAGCTTCTAATTGATCCCCACCTAGAAGTCAGTCAGTGAAAAGCTTTCAGCTACTTCTTACTTATTTGTGCAGTGAGAGTATCTGGGTGGTTTCTGCAGCAAGGGTCAATGTGTTTCTTCCTGTCTACTGTGTGACCCAGCCTATGAAAGACATGCTTATCCCTTCCTCTAAATGATTTGCAGTTGAGCAATCTCTTAGAGGGGTGAGGAATGACATCTTCGTTCAACTACAGGTGAAATGGCAGTTGAAGAGCAGGTCCTTGATGGTGAGCACTGCTACTGTTGACCTGCCCTTTGTGTGTTCTGCATTGGGTTTCTTCCATGAGGTGTTGTAAATGATGGAAGGCACCCAAAAGGCCTGTAAAGCAGTCCACGTATTTATGGTCTGTTTACAGGAGAGTTAACTATGTCTGTTCAGTCTGTGCTCTATCTGCAAGGTTTTAGCTGTTTGGAGCTTGCTGGTGTCAGGCTCTTTGCATTAGGAAGTGCTCCAGTTCCCATCCATTTCGCTAGATGACTGCTACAATTTTGTGATTTCTTGTATTTCATGATGGGAAAAATCAGGGAGATTGAAGATTGCTCTGTTCAGGAGAGCAAGTTGTTAAAAATTCATGGCCTTTCTGAAAGAATGTGTATTGAGGTTGGCACACCCATAAAATTCCTGGTCATTTTCAAGATATTCCTTTCAGGTTTGTAGTTGATAGATACTACAAAAACTTCATACTTGTCAAAGCACTCATCTCTCAGGGGTGGAATCAGAGGGGAGCTGGCAGCAGTTTTGAGTCCATTTGTCTTGAGAGGGAAGTTGTCTGATTTCAATTCCAGAAGTCAAGGAAAAGGTGAGGTTTCCATTAATATTTAAAAACTAATCACAGATACCAATAACTCCTCTAATGAGTCACTTACTGTTGTAACAACAAACACAAGCAGCTCTATGAACCTAATAATAATTAGTTAAAGTTCTTTGTGTTTTCATAGTGACAGCATCCCATAGAGTACAGCAGGATGATTTGATGAAATTCAGAACATGGAGCATAGCAGGTCCTGGTACCTCTGCTTCAACATGACCTGGCCTTTCAGAAGCATCTGGCTGGCTGACTTGAGGAACCGTAGCATTCAAGTAATTCACTTGATTCAAGTAATTCTGCTATAGACAGGCTTGCTGCCTGGTACCACCCTACAAAAAAAGCTTGCTTTTTGATTTGCTTGTTGATTTAAACCTGAACTTAGCAATGTTCTTACAAATTCTGTATAGATTAATTTTTTTAATTCTAGTATTACACTGGGAATCTTGGAGTCCAGTGTCCGCTGCCTTCATATGCTGCCTATTGCATCTTGAATCTTGCTGTGAGGAAATTGTATTGTGTGGGTCACTTTTTAGGAGGCGCATTGCAATAAACGAACACTTTCTTTCCACTAAACAAAAGGAGTGTCTTCACTGGTGATTACAGTAGTCCTCTTTATCCTAAGCCAAGATCTAGGACATGCTGTCGCAGTTTACATGCGTTTAGTATGATTGTTTAGCCAGTCTTAAGGAATAAGGAATCTCTCATTATGTATGTACAGATTCTAGCTTGATCCGTCTGCAGGGAGGAGATCCTGGCATATCAGGTCCTGTACGATGGTTGAGTGGGATTTAATGGTACTTTTGTCTTTTTGGTGTTTACATATTCACTTAAAAATGAAGGACAAATTTCAGAGCTGTGAAGGGAAGATAGAAGGAAAGAATTTGTACGGCATATAAAACACTGTCACTTTTTAAAGTTTGCAAGAAGACAAGGTAGTAGTGAAACTTTGAAGCTTGAGGGACATGCACCTCTTTTTGAAATGTTAGGGTGTGTGTGTGTTTCTGAAATACTGTTCAGTTTGGTAAGGTGTGTTTTTATGCGTGAGAAATAGGAAAGTATTTTGGTCACAATATAACTCTTCTTTGAAAAATAATACTTAATATGAGTACTGGCATTGGAGTGTCATACTTAACTTTGACTAGTATGATCTTCGAATAAGTAAAGGGCCTGAAATTAATTCATGCTATGTAGTCCTCAGGTACATAACCTTTAGGATCTAAGAGGCAATGCTAACTTCAGATTTGAAAGTTCAGGGAACAAATACTATATGTTGTCTTTGGGGTACTTTGGGTTTGGTGGGTTTTTTTCTTCATCTCTTATAACACTTCTTAAAACTTCTTACCTTGTCTCTTGGAAAGATTAATTGCAGAGCAAATGGTCTTATAGTACAGGAGATGTGACATTTAAAAAAAAAAAAAATCAAGAGTTTTCTCTCCAGAACTAAGCTATTGCTATGTCTTGCAAATAATTGTCCGGTTAGCTTATGGTGCAGCTTAATGAGCAGGAAGTGAATGTTTCCAGAATCAGTCTGAAATGTAGTAGATGGCTTGTGTAACATTCACCTGTGGTGGGAGGCATCAGAAGTTTGTTGTACGTTCTCCTCTATAATACTGCTGGTTGGGCCATGAGCTAATTGTACAGAAAAATCAGATATAGCCAGTTGTAATATTTTATTTGACCAATTAGTGTGATGGGGGAGCAGGTGGCACTGGGTCAGGCATATGGGTGCTCACCTACATCTCCAGGTTTCTTGCATACCTTAAAACTTTCTGGTTTTTCTCCCCTTTTGATTTTAGTTGGTGAAGTGAGATTGTTAAAGAAATTATTTGAGCACTGGGAGTGTCAAAAAGGCCCAGTCCAGACTAGTTTTCTGTCTCCATGAGTATCTGAGCAAATACTTACAGAAAATACCAGAGCATGTCTAGAGTGACATTGACCTGGGTGTATTCTTCCAGTTTCAAGTGTCTGGTTGTTTATTAATTTCAGAGCTGCTGTTGGATCTGCATTTGTATATATTGTATATTCCATTCCTATTTGTATATATTCCTATTTGTATATATTGTATATTCCATTCCTGTTCACCAGTTGTGTTACTGGTGAGTTTATATATCCTTTCATCACGTGTTTTCCAAGTTCCTAGTATCTTTTTGCAAATAAGAGCAAGAAGGGTAGATTCCACTGATACTTTTATCATACTTCTATAGCTTTTATGAGAAGGGGTGCCCAGAGCTATTTCCAGGATTCAGGAGCAGTGCCTTAGTGCATCCATTGTGTATTTAAATGTGTGTCTAGATAGTAAGTTATTAACAAGTTAAGTATAAAAATGAAAAGTAATCTTTTGTACATGGTTTTATTTGGGTGAAGTGTGTGATGATACAGCAGTTCAGATGTGATGGAACAGTTAAAGCTTACAGGAGGTCTGTAACCATGTAAAAATGCCAGTGTATATTACAAATTTGAAGTTCAGAATGTAACTTGGTGCAAAAATATTTTTCTTCATAAACTTGATTTTTAAAGATGTCTGTTTCTCCCTTCTTATCTGTAGCATTCAATACATGCTAACAAATACAGCATTTTTTTCAGTTGCTGCAGCTTGCTTGTGAGATGAGCATTTAAAAACGGAGTCAATAGGCAACACAACAAAATGGGAAGAGAAAGGGAGCAGTGGTCAAATATTTAAATCTTTATAAAGAAAATAAGCTGTATTTTAAGAGCAGCAATTAGTAGAAAAGTTATTTGCCTTAATGGGAATTGGAGGTAAAACTAAAACATCCTAAAAATATGCCTCACCCCAACTTTGAAGCATCTAATACTATAGTTGATAAAAACAGCTGTCCCTGTTGCAATTTGTAGTGTGGTTCTGTTATCAGATTAGTAAACTGTATCATTTTTACAGCTTCAAGAAACTCATATAAACACGTGAGAGAAGATGACAAGGTCTAGATCAAGATCACCACGATGGAAACCAAGGTAAATATTTATCTATAACTTGTGTTCTGAAATGTAGCTCTATGTGAGAATTATAATTAGGATTTAAAACTTGTGTAAAAGAAATAAAATTGCATCCAGAATTGCAATTTGTAAAGTGTATCTTATAAATTAGAATTTGTTTTCCAAACTGAATACCTTCTGCAATTTCTTTTCCCAACTCACAATTTTATTACAACTTCTAAGCTGGAGGTGTAAAGGTTTTGCTGTCTTGTCAGGAGCCTTGTTCAACTTGAATGTTGCAGCTACCAACTTGGGACTTGGAGCTACCTTAAGCACAAAATACAAGCATCAAACTAGTTAAGGTTATTTTTACTTGAGCACCACTGGGTTCATTTAATGTCTAACTCACTCCTGTTTTGCCTTTTGGCCTACAGGGAGGGCCAGATTGACTGTTAAAAAAAATACTTCTGAGTTTAAACACCACAGACGCTTTCCGAGCCTTTGGGGCTGATCTTTAATATGGTTAGATATGCCTTGCAGCATAATGCAAACTGAAAACACGGGAGTTAGTGCCCTTCTTTTTGGACACTAGCCTAGAAGTGTGTCATTGATGCTAGTCACCAGAATAACATTCAGGTTACTTCATGCTGCTAGTTACCTGCCTGATTTTTAGAACTTGGAATCTAAACTTGAGATGTTAAACCTAGGAGGCTGGAATACAATTTTAAGCTTTCAAGAGCTTGAAGCTACTTTTCTGATGGTTTTGGGTTGCTTTTCTAAACAGACTAAGTTGTTATGACCAAGACCAAGGGAGTTTGTTGGATAACACAGAAAAATGTATGGGGGTTTTTATTTGATCTGCTTCCATGCTAGATTGATAGTTGTGAATATGTCCTTTGAGTGAAGGGCAGGGAGGAATGCCTCAGCTCTCATTAAAATGCAAGCCCTATCCAGAACAACGTCGTGTGGCAGCAGCAGTATGGGTGCTATTGGAAGTTAGCCATTAGAGTTTTATGAAGATCAATGGTTCTGAGTTTGAACTCGTTTGCAGAAATGGAGCAGATAGTTACACCAAATTGTACACTTACAATATGTGTACAGATGTGACTTCCCTGCATTTTTTCAATTTATATTTTTTCAATGGTTTTATTAAAAAGTGTGTTGAGAGTGTAGAGTGTATATTTGAATATATATGATCAGAACTGTTATGTCTGGGATTACTTTCTGGTTCTTCCTAGTGGCTTGTACTGTTTTTATTTAAGTAAATTTTGTCTGAAATAACTCTTTACGGGTTGCTTTACTTTTTGTAGCTGTAGGTGAAAATGCAAAGCTGAGTGTGATGCAATTGGGTAGGTCTTAGCAACTGAAATTTTTAATAGCAAAAGCTGCGATAAGTGTGGAAGTGCATATGTGTACATGTGACCTGTACAGACAATCATACAAGAAGACCAAAACATCTTTCTTGAACTTGGTCTTTTCTGCAGGAAAAAGCCTACCTGTGTGACATTTTAAGTAGGATAATTTATAATGTTTTCAATCAGGTTTTGGGGGGTTGTTCTGACATGCAAAGAAAACCTGAAAACGTTTTTTCTTCCTTTTTAAAAATTTTTTTGTGGTTCTTTACATTTTTTTTTTTCCTTTCCCTTTTTTCTTTTGGCACTGAAAAAGATAGAGAATGCTTGAGAAGTGTGAAAATGTTTATAACAGTTGTTTTCAATGTAGTGGAAACTTCATATATATGAAATTATTTTTAGTTTTACGTGGAAAAAATGCAAAGAGAAAAATGATTGACTTACTATTGAGTGGGTAATTTTACTATGAAAACTTCCAGCAGACTGAAAGTAAGCTTGATACTCTAGCCAGTCAAGTGACACTTTGAATATTCTGACGTGTTTTTATTTTCTTTATCAGTTGATTAAAATTGTATACTAAATGTTCCTTAGGGACTAGAATTTCTCATGAAGTGGTTATTTCAATTTTATGGGACTACTCAAAGTGAATTTTATTTTTCTTTAGGTCCTTATCTCCAGCATTTAGGAGTCCAGAGCACCATAGGCAAAGGCATGCTCATATTAATTATGACTGTGAATATAAAAGCTTTCGTAAGGACCCAAAGAAACCTATGCCTTGGAGAACAGAAGATGAAAAATATGGGCAAAGCAATTCCAGGTTTGCACCTCATGGAAATAACCACCAGAGAATATATGAACGTAGGTCACCTTCACCAAACCTGAAAAGAATTCCCATGGAAGATACTTACAGTCATAAACCCTACAGAACACATTCATCTGAAAGAACTGAAAGCAATAGGAGATGCCAGTTACCACCAAAATACTCAGAAATACCATATAAAGAGCATGATCGTCCATTTTACCAACACAAAATGGAAGAAAGATACATGTTTGAGCACTACAAAGTCACTGGAAATGAAAAAGGAATGAAACCTTTTCACAGACCATTAGGGGCTTCATTTAAACTTGAAAGAAAATGGCATGAAGATGGCTTGAGGCACCAGAGGTTACATGAAGAGAAGTATGGTCAGTCACCCAGAAGAGTTTCTGATGAATTTACGGCCAGGAGCTCTTTACAGAAGAGGTATAGGAATAAAATAATTAAAACCTGGGTATTGTGGTGTAAAGCCTCAAGTGAAAGTCTGTTTTCATTATAGTTGAAGATATCCACCTTGAAACACGTTGGCCACTTTGTAGTTTAATTATGGGCGACTGGTAGTAGTGAAGTATTTGTCTTTTAAGTAAATCATAATGATGGCTAGAGTATGAAAGGATAATATTTCCCTCTTAAGAGCCCCTGCACATCTGTACCTTGGCGTGAGGGATTATGGGTTAACTTGCCACGCATTCTGCTGTTCAACATTCTGCACATATAAGTTCTCGCTTTCTTCTCTAGTGCAAGTGTAAATTGCTTTATGTCAACACAGGTATCCTGAAGATCACGATTACAGAGAATATGGGCACACGTCCAAAAGGGCTAAAGAAATGGAGAGGTATGACGGTGGAGAAGTAGCAAGAAATTCCAAGTGGAAGCAAGAACGTTCTTTTCCACTGTACCAAGAAAAGGAGGAGCAAAGAAATCTGGGTGCCCAGTCCCACCGATCGGCTGAAAGGGAGTACTCGGAGGGTTCTGTCACAAAGATAGCCTATGAGTACAGTCACAAGCGGCGCAGGCATCTGGATGGGGAAAAGCCTTTTTCAGACGATAGAGCTCAGAAATATGTGAAGCAGGAAGACCAGAAATATGGTTCTTGTAAGGGTGCCCGGAATAGCAAAGAGTTAGATTACTTTAGTGGTGGAAGAGCGAGACGGACTGAAGAAGGGCACCTTGAAGTACCTGTTAAATATAGTTCAAAGAAGGTCTGCAATGCTTGTGTTAACTCTTCCAAAATGGAGGTTGATCTGAGATCTTTTAAAAACAAACCGAAGGAAAGAGTAAGGAAAGAAGGGGAATTCAGGCAAAAAGTAGATTCCTCCGATAGCCAGCATGATTCAAGTCATACTGTTTCAGATGTGAAAATGTCAGATGTCAACTGTAGGAGGGAACATCTCACAATCAAAGTGGATATGAAGAAAATGGTGACCAAGTACAGGTATTGGTTTCCCCTCACCTCTTCTTCTTTCTTCCTGTCGCTCTACAGTTTATGAATATTGGTGGGAAGCCCAGTTTCTTTAAGTGGTAACCAGGACAAGCTAAGGTCGTACCTTTAAAATTTTATTCCCTTTAAAAAGTTGAGTTGCACAGGCTGGAAACTTAAAGCCTACCTCTATCAAAAACAGACCAAAAAAAATCCCCTAGCTCATTTCATGCAGCTGTAGTAGGAAATGCAAAGAGTCCATATGCCTGAAACAAACCTGTACTTAAATGTTGCTTTTGATAAAAAAATGTATTACTTTTATTTAAAACCAAAACAATGAAAGCAGAGAAGCCTAGTCCTGTACTTTCTTCTGGAATATGATGTCATTTTTTTGACTGAGTTTCCTCTAAAAACCAGATAACCGTTAAATTACATAAATCTCAAGCACATATTCAGATGTTCAAGATCTGAAGTTCAATAAAGCTGTCAAAAATCAAGAGATCCATGGGTTACGTTGTTTATTGTTGTAACAAATGAAGTGGCAATCTGTTGATGCATCAGAACTGAAAAGCAGTAGAGTCTGCTTCTGTCTGTCTTGTGTAATACTTGTGGTTCCCTTTAGCATTCCCAATGCTGACTGAATTGGAAAAAAGTGGCAATATTATGAAAATCTAGATGATGGATACATGGTAGAGGTTAAGCAGCTTGGCTTGTGTAGATTTTTGCAGGCTTTTCTGGTTTGTTACCTTGCTGTTGCAGGCAAGAATGTCATATAATGACAGTAATCCCTTTTGGAAGGGATTTTGGAAGCTTCCCTTCCAAAATGATCAGCCTTCATTTTAAAGGTATTTTGCCTCTTGTCCTAAATAAAACACCTGTATCAGTTTTTTCCCTTTCTGGTATTTCAGATACCTGTAATACAATAGAGTTACACAGACAAATTATTGTCTGCACATAAGGGGCTAATAGGAAAGACAGAGGAAAGTGGAGTAATTCCTGCCCCCTCTCCTGTCTAGGACATGCATGTAACTTTTTCAGTGACAGTTTAAGGAAGGTAATGTCACTTAATTATTGTTGAGTTCTGTTGCAAGCCCACAGGATGATTCCTATTATCTAGTAGCCTCTCGCTACTGTTTTTGAAAGCCTTGCATGATGAACATGGTAATTATTTGCAGACTGAAGAAACTACTCATTGGTTACAGCTAATGTAATGGAAGGTTTGCTTTTGCAGCCAAAAGTGCTAAATACTTATTTTTTTAAAGACAAAACCACTAATTTTACAGAAGCTGATAACTGGGAATATTTGTGCTACCTACTTTAGGCATTTAACACACACCTGACTTGAAATGAAACAGCTGAGAAGAATACTTTCTTTATACACCTGAGGAGCAGGTAGATAATTCAAATAATCTACAGTTGAGGTTGTTTGAGTTCCCTCTTGCATGCATTTATTTCCAGTTTACTGGTGGCAAATAGATTCCTTCTGCCACCTGTTAGAGGCTATTTCTGATACCATTTTTGTATGAATTTCTAGTCTTGTTTGCTTCAAATACAGGATGGGCAGGCATGTAATCACTGCGGAATGCACAGTAAACGGTCTTTATCCTAAAAGCTTTTATGTGGGCTGTTTGAGTCTTCAATTTATCTTTCCAAATGACAAGCATTTTTCTTGCAACAAGAACAGCAGGATTTTTAAAGTGTTAGTTTCCTTGTCAAAATAATTCTTAAGCAGCAGTGCAACCATGTGGGGCGTAAACTTACTTAGAATGAGTAAATTCTGACAAAAAGATGCTAAACATGTTCTTAAGTTCACACACTGCTACTGTGTAAAGCTGTTTCACTAGGCTCAAGTGATGATTCAGTTCCCAAAGATGCTGTGAGATTTTTACATCTCTGAACTGTTCTTGAACATTATCTGGTAGCTCCTTATAAACAGACACATACAATTGACTTCCAGAATTATACTGAAGTAGTATATTAGGATCTTCATTTGCCTGTTTTATTTCTTAATCTAGATGAATTAAGTCTAAAGTTCACAGATTTTGTATTGTGTACTTCACTGGAACAAGGATTCCTAAGAGTGTAGTCATACCCCTTTGTATTTTATCATAGCTTTTCTTCCTTATGGCCTTACGAGGTTTTTAAACCCAACAAAATGAGGTTTCAGTTTCATCATTTATTCCGAGAATTAACTTCTTAATTTATGGCTTTATTCTACTTCTCTATTTGAAGCTTTCATTTATAGTGAATTATTTTAAAGTGCATATCTGCCGATTTTTATTCTAGGACTGCCTCTAGTCATACTACAGAGAGACAGATGTCCCATGATCTGGTTGCTGTTGGCAGAAAAAATGAAAATTTTCATCCAGTGTTTGAGCACATGGAATCTGTAACCCACAATGTTGAAAATGACCCATCAAGAGAATTTACTCAGGAAATAATCACCATTATCCATCAAGTTAAAGGTGGCTGTAATATTTGGGATATATGTATGTGCTTGGTTTTAATAATTATAAATACATAAATTTAATGAATTAGATGCACTGTCCTTGTAAGTCTCAGGTGTTTGCCTTTGGCTTCATTTGTATTTTGACTTCATTCTGTATTGTTCAAGAAAATGTAGGTTGAGGATTAGACGGGTGGAGTATGATAGTAAGATCTCAGTCCATAATAGAGGTATAGTTGTGGAGTGTTAAGGTCAAAAGGATTTTATGCTAGTGCAACTTAAGACTAACCTGCTTGTTTAGGAACAAGAGAGGAAAAAAGGCGCTTTGCTCCTTTAACTATGAGGTCACAACTTCCTAGTTATATGTAGTTCCTCTAATTTTTCAATTAGTGTTTAGACTGTTGGACCATGTTCAGTATTAAATTTTATTTATAGATTCTAGTCATTTGAGTACTACCATAACAGAGCTGACAAATAGTTAACACTCTAAATGAATTTAATCTTACTAAATGAGAAGGATGTCTAATTTGAGCTGGCCTAATCTTTCATATGTGAATGTTAAACTGCAAGTGGAAACAGTTTGAAATTTAAGATCAGAAGTTTTCTTGGTGTCCTCAAGAGTTAATCTTTTAAAAGATAGTTTCCCACTGTGCATTTCAACTACTACAAATAAACATTCTTATGTTTAATATCTCTTCGCAGCAAATTATTTTACATCTTCTGACATAACATTACATGAACGATTTTCAAAAATTCAGGATAAACCAGTTGCAGATATGAATGAAGTTAAAATATGTTTGGATCCAGAAATTCACAGGTAATTGATGTGCTTTTTTGCCTTAATTTATTTGCATTAAAGTAGTTAATCTTCAGGAGACTTTACACAATGTAAAGTGTTTTTTCACTCTAACCTACCTGCTTGTAGTCTGTAAGGAATTCTGTAGTTGGTCAATAATGCTTTTGACATTTATAGTGATGGCACTTGTATTTATGCAGTATTTTTGTGTTCCAGGAGGTTTGACATGTCTCTAGCAGAACTTCAGAACAAACGAACTGTGGAATCTGAATCTCCCCAGGTATCTTGATTACTTAACTTTTCTGGCAAACAGTAAGTTAAAATTATACAGATGTAAACATTTCCCCTTGCTATTGGAACATCATTTTTACATGTTTTGAAGACCATTAGTAATTCTGACTATTTTGAAAGAAATGCACACTTAAGCATATTTACTGATAGCACAGTGTTGCAAATATACTCTGAGTAAAATGTGGACGTGTGTTCTCCAGAGTAGCTGGACTGTGGTTATTCCTGCTGCTTGGACCACTATTTGTTTTTAAATAGTGTAAATATTAAGTAGGTGACTGACATGTGGCTTTTGCACTCTGAGATTAGGAAAAGCCTCAGTGTTTCTTCTACCCTGATGTTAGAATGGCCTGCCCTTCATGTAACTCATCAGAATGCTATTTTATCCCATGCTTTCATCCAGGGACATAAGATTTTTTTTTTTTTGTCTTCCCCTTTCAAGCTATGCTTATTGTGATTTAGTTACCATTTTTTTTCCTATAGTATGGGTATGTGGAGATTCAATGTAAGAATAGTAGGACTTTAAGATTTATTGTGTTAAGAGAATTCATGTGACTTTTTGCCTTGGCAACTCCATGTGGAATTCCAGTGCTCTGTTCACTGTTGTTTGGACACTTGTAAAAAGGCAGATAGTGCAAGAAAGAGTAATTTTTTGGGACTACTCTTTGTTGTTTTGGACTTTGGGTCCTTTGGGTCTCCTGGGTGGAGATAGTTGAACTACTTTAACAAGGTTATATACCGGATGCAACCCTTGAAGGACAGAATCACATCAGTGTTTAGTTATTACTAGCTAACTTGACTTTAACTCTTCCTCTTAATTAGAACATGATGAGAGTGTTAGAAGATCCAAATGATCTACGTCATGATATAGAAAGAAGAAGAAAAGAGAGACTGAAGAATGAAGATGAGAGAGTCTTTCATGTAGATGATGTAACTCCAAGGTAATTGGCAATCTTGTTGGCCAAAGCCTGTAGTTCTTTTATGTGTTCATTTCTTGACCCTTTCACAGTTACATTCACATGTGTTGTGATTCTTTTTCATAGTTAGTTCTTGTAAGTTTGACTTGATCTGAAATTCAACTAATGTACTTTGCAAACTACTCTAATGGAGTGTTACCTTGAAAGAGTTTAAGCTGTAGTGGGGGAAAAAATATGAAATGAAAAGTTCAAGCTGTAGCACTGAATAGGAAGAGGGGAATAAATTAAAGATGCTAAGCTGGTTTTGAACTCCTTTATGTGCTGTGTAACAACATTCTCTTGGTGTTTTGTAGTTTGGTAAAAGTATTCTAGGATTAATACATTGTTGTGTTGCCCTGTTTTTTTGTAATGTCATGTGGAATATCAACAAAGAGTAGGAGTTTTTCTGATTGTTGTAGAATTTTATGAAGAAAAGCTAGATTGTTGAAATGGCTTTTTACTGCTATGAATTCCTCCAACAGGTTTGTTAAAGGCATTTACCCCAGAGGTGTTTGCTAACCTCAGTCACCCTGTTTCACTTTTGGTGTTGTGAGGTTGATTAGAGAGATGACTTGACTGACTTGTGGTAGAAGAAATGTTGATTAAAGAATTACTGTAATGTAATGAAATGTATCTACACTGTAGTCATGACTTGCAGATCACTTTTAATATGCTGCTGTTCATTTTAAATGCAGTCTATAATGGCAGATAGTGGCAATGCCCACATAGTTGGGAAAACTGACTTGTGAAGATGCAGAAGAAATATTTCTTGTATTTGGGATTCTTTAAAAAACAAAAGTAAAAGTTATGGTGAGGGGGGAAACAGTAAAATATTGGTCTGTTGCATATTGCCTTTTATGTACCTGGGGCTATGTCTTTAGTGTATGTTTGGCCTGGTTATCTGGGAAGGTTTTTTGGGTTTTTTTTGCCACTTCTACAGTTACTATCCTGCTTACCTTTTGTGTATGCTGCTCAAATTTCTCTAGTAAGTGTGGCTGTCATGGAGTTTGTGATGAGGGGTTACACTGTCAGAGTAATGTGGGCTAAGGTCAGTAATGGTATGAATGATTGGTAGGATTTTTGAGACCAGGAGTTTTTCATAGTTCACATATGTGATACACTCAATGCCTATAAGCTAGTCCAATATGCCTCTGTTTTTGCCTTAGTAATTTATTTTGCAACTATGAAAACTATTTCTGTATGTTTTGTGAACTGAACTTTGACTTCTGGTGGTTACTTTTCATAGTGTGTTTTATTTAGAGGTTTATGAACATACTTGTATTAGCAATGTGCTCAGTTACAAAAATAAACCAAACAAAACCACAAAACAACAAGCAAGCAAGAGCCCAAAGCCAAGCACCCTTCTTGCTGAGGATGCAACTGGAGCATTTAGCTGTTTATCTGACCTTCTGTCCGATTTGGGATTTCATGAAATGGAAAGTACTGTAGAACTTTAAAGATAGAACTGCTGAAACGCAGAAAGTATTTCAACCGCCGGAGGGCAGCAACGACCAGCCATGCAGGCCTAGTTGGGTGAGCCAGGGAAACCTGATTTTCATAGCAAGGATTTCAAGAAAGTAGAGTATCTTTTATGTTTGTCATTGCATAAGAGAATGCAGCTTACTATATAATTTTGTGCAGTTTAGCATTAAGATTAATCAGAGAACTAGTAATTTGTTGAATGTGCTAGAAAAAAAATTTGCACTTTGAAGTGATACAGATGCTAGTCAAAGGTTATTTAAACCTATATATAGGGTTAAAGGTTATTTAAACCTATATATAGGGTTAAACCTATATTATACAGGGTTTTGATATGCTGTGGCTTTAGATTTTAATTGTTCTCTTTCTTTCTCTCTCACACCCATCAGGAACCATCAAAACTGCAGTCTTTCAAAATTACAAAACTCTCAATTTGATGGCTTCCAAAAGCCTATGAGGTTCATTAAGCCACCTTTCAGGAAATTTATTGGGAAACCTCACCTGGTAAGCTTAAATGTAGAATTAATAACACCTTAATTATTTGTTCTTATAATGATTTTTTTTTTCTGCATTGTCTATGCTGATGTAAATTTAACTACCTGTGATGTCTTGACCTTTTAAATTTCAAGTGGGGCTTCATTATCTTCGGACTTTGCTCAACAATAAAACTACGCATAATTTCACAAGTCTAGTGCAAGAGCACTTACTCAGATATCTGTTGAAGCATAGATTAATCCAAGTGAGCTAAAAACACTTTTATGACTAAATGCTGATACAATGAAAATAATTATTTTGCTTTTGCATACCTGTGCAGTACTCCATAACAACTTTGCTACTGCTTTTTATATCCTAGCAGCAAGTTGGCTGTGGATGTGTTGCTTCAGAAAGCTAGTTTGGATTAGTATATTGAGTGAAATCAAAATATCTTTTTTTAACTAGTCCAGAAATAAGGTAGTCAGCTTTTGATCTCTTATTGAATAGCAGAAGAGATCAAATTAAACTTTTGAACTAAATTTTAGATTCAGAATGACTGAATCTAAGGGGTTTGTGAAATAAAAACTTATATTACTTGTGGCTTTTTAAAAGAAGTTTGTACCTAACAATGCATTTCTTCCACTTACTGATGTACTACCTAAACTATAATATAGAAGGTTTTATTATTGAGCAGATAACCTGAGTTAATATTGAACACTTTAAGAAGAATATTCTGCTGCATTCTAGCTGTCAGTGGTTGGAAGGGAAGATGCGAATCTTGTGTGGGTGGTGTTGTTACTAAAACAGTGTTTCTCATTATGATAAACGTTCTGGAAGGCTTTATTTTAAAAACAAATAAAAATGAGAAACAAATCACAGAAATAAAAGTGTTCCTGAGAATGGACTGTTATACAATAGAATAGCTTATCTGTGTTGATACTGTGTTTATCAAAGCTAGTTTGGGCACTTATTCTTTCTTACTCTGTCTTTCTGTGATGTACTTTTAATACTGAAATGGGCAAGATGGTTTGATTATATTAGGTTTGGTAGAAATAAAGTTGTCTCTTTTGAAAATTCTAAGTAAATGTAGTCTTACTTCCAAGTGTTTGTGCTTGTTTAACTTGGGGAAGGGATGAGATTAGAAAGCTTTATTAATGTGTGCAGTATAATTCTAAATATTTTTTTTTCTGGAGGAAACTAACATAAATTGTTGGGTCTTATATGTTGTAATTAATACCCTATGGACAGAGTTCCAAAAGAAACTTTTCTGAGGTCCACCAAAAGTAGCTTTTATGTAGGCAGTTCTGACTATCACTAAAATGTAGCTGCCTTGTGGATATAACAGTGCATCTTTCAGTGTAAATCAACACAAATTTTTAATGGTAAGAAACCTACTTGCTCAAGACTTAAGAATGAAGTCCTCAGAAACAAGTAGTAATTGCTCATTAACTCTGTTGGGTCTGGCTGAGTTGATTTCCCCCATAGCAGTTCTATGGATGCAAGTGTGGAAGTAGCTAGAAAGGTGTTGATGATACACTAGTGTGTTGGCTACTGCTGAGCAGTGCTCGCACAGCATCAAGGCTCTCCCCAACATCGCCCTCTCACTGATAGGCTGGGGGTGGGCAAGGTCTTGGGAGGGCTTGGGACAGCTGACCCAAACTGACCAAAAGGATATTCCATACCATATGATGTCTCAGCAATGAAAACTAAGAGAAAGAAGGTGGAGGGGGGCATTTCTTACTGTGATGTTTTATCTTCTGGAGCAACTGCTACACATGGAGAAGCCCTGCTTCCTGGGCAGTGTCTGGACATTGACTGCTGATAGGAAGTAAAGAATAGATTTTTTTTTTCTTTTCCTTTGCTTCTGTGTGTGGCCTTTGCTTTTCCTTTAAACTCCCTTTATCTTGATCCATGTGGGTTTTTTCATCTTATTTTTTCATCCTCGGTCCTGCTGAGGAGGGGAGAGAGCGAGTGGTTTAGTGGGCACCTGGCATCCAGCCAATTTCAACCCACCACAGTAATATAGTAATTGCAACTAAAAAGGGGGTTAGGTTGATATAGAAACTGAGTTATTTTTAGATGTCCTGAAGATCCAGGAAGACTGCATTTTGATATCTTAATAGCAAACTGCAAAGATGCATTTTTTTTTAGTCCTGCACTGCAGTGAGGAGTAATCAATTCAGAACCAACAGTAGCTGTGAAGGATGGGTGTTACAAATGCAAGGCATCCTAAAGAAAGAATGACTCTTCATGAATTCAGCCATGCAGGAGCTGGTTTGCAGACAAGTAGGAAGATAAAATACTTCAGTTTGCTGTCCACATTTGTCAGTAAAAATAGAATTAATCAATGCTCACCACCTGGCCCGGAGGGCTTACAGATGTTTTGCAAATGTGCCTGCAGTACGTTAATTGGCACTTCTTAATTACATACCTTCTCCTGTTTTTGTGTTTCTCTTCTTTTAATTCTTATTTTGCTCCCCTTGTCTCTTTTCCTGTTTATCTAATGCTCAATATACAAAGTAATGCAGAATGAGGGTAATTTTTCCTGGGCAGAGCAGATCACTAATACAGCTAACTCATATCTGAGGCAGTACAAATAATTCAGCTGAATAAGCTAGCTTTGGTAGTGTGGTACTTCCTGTGACATGTACGTGTTTATGTGAGAATGTATGGTGCTCAGAATGTCTTTCCTTGAAGTGGTTCTTCAGGACTGGGTGCAATTGGAGAAGAGCTTATCCTGATGGGCAGTAGCTCAAGCCCAATCTCCATATGTGTAAATTGGTAGTACTGATTTAATATTTGGTGGGGTTAAGTGGAGTGGCACCCAAGCAGCCAACTGTAATTTCAGCCACATGTATCCTTTGTGTTGAACAAGCTTTCTGTAATAAATTCAGAACTGACTTTATCCACTACTACTTTGTTTGGAAATATAATATTAGGAAAGTTGAAAGAAACTGAAGGAAAAAAAAATGAAGTAAAAAGCTGCTTGTAGCTGCTTTCTTTGAGAGGGCAAATGTTTGGAATTTGCCATTCAGAGAGCCTTGTATCAGAATAGTACAGTTCAGGTTTGAGCTCTGCTGAGCACCTTGAAAAGTGTAAGGACCAGGTCTAAAAGGCAGTGTTTCTGAATGATGCCTTGGGTTTAAGAAGTGGTTTGATGGGTCACCAGAACACTGATGCTGGGTTGACCACACCTTTTTAAATAGGAAACATCCTAAAATGAAGGATATATTATTGGCGTGCAGCAACACAGGGGAAAAACTGAGGAAGCATTTGAAGTGTAAGCCAGAGCTAAGAATAGTTGTCGAATATGAAAGTAAATTTTGTAGTTTTGCTTGGTCTTACAGATACTCAGGTAGATATTGGTTCCACAGAGCTTTCCAGTTCTTGTGGGAAGCTGTTTTATGCTGCAGAAGAGGTGTAGTTATAGCACGTTGTATTTGCAAAATTGTAAAGGTATGGGAAAACACATGGAAGAGTATGCAGCAGATCTCTTCCCACTTTTACAGCTAAAACTCTCCTTAACGATTTTAAAAGCAAAGCAGGGGAAATCCAGAACAAAAACTCTAATCTTCAACATTATTTTCAGGTTGGTTTGCTCATGTTTACAGGTAAATATTGAGAGAAGTACATCAGAGTGCCAGGTTTCAAATGACAAGCATAATAATGCCAAGGCTCAGAAAATATGTCAAATATAACTTAAAAAAAAAGCATTTGATAGGAAAAACACTGCAGCATCTTAAATTATAACACAAGATTTTAAAAATGTAATTTATTGGATGACTATTTGCATGTTTTTGTCTTTGCTAATAAAACTTCATTGAGGTTTTATCACTGCTTGAGGAGCTGTGTGTAACAGCCTTGGTAAAAGATGGATGCTTGAAAACTGAAAGTCTGTTCAGCACATCATATCTGGTGCAAGAATGTTGCCTAATGTGAAAACAGATAATGTATTGGTCATGTTAAAATGTCCTTACATTAAACTATCAAAATGTGCTATCAGCACCACTTTATGCTCCTTTGTTAAATGGACGATGCTAGTCATGTGGGTTAATATTAAGAGTGGAAATAGTTTTGACTTGGTTGGCCTACTTTTGGTATCTCATAATTAATTAATATGAACTTTTCAGTGCAAAATATGAACACCTTTTACAGCAGGCGCCAGTGAAGAGTATTTCTTGTGGTAATATTCAATAATTGGAGGTTGAGCTTAAACTTGAGAAGAACTTGTGCCTTGAAGGTACAAGTGTCTGTCTAGCCTTTATTATAAGAAATGTCCATCTAGCCTTGTGCCCTATTGACATAAAGAGATAGCTAAAGAGTATCTATTTGTACTTCCCTCTTTTTTTTTTTTTTTCATTTAAAACCTCTGGTTTAGGAATTTCCTGAGAAGTAGACTGCTCTATCTTGGCATCAAGTAATTCTAATGTTTTTGTTTCCATGGCTGTACTTTAATCTTGAGGGAGGTGGGGATGGGGAGGAGTGTATCCATAGTTAGTTAAGACAAGCTGTGTTTTAATTCCAAAAGGTTTATTTTTAACAGGAAACTTTTGTTATTTTTATCTTGCTGAATTCTTATCTTTGAGGAGTGTATTTCAACAGGGAACTTCCTGATTTAATTGTGTGTTGTATGGAGAAAGTTAATTGATTTCATGAAGTATCTTCGTATTCTTTGAATAAGAAGGGAGCTTGGAAGTTCCTGACATTTCTTTAATTTTCTGTGTTTAATTTTCCATACCTCTTTCTTCGAAAAGCCATTTTGACTACTTTGATATCAGTTCATAAAGTCTTACTTCCTCTCTTCTTATTCTGCTGAATCCCCTCTTGTCAAGGCATTTTAAGATGTTAAATAGTAGGCAATAATCTCAAAAAAAAACCCAACAAAAAACCACCAAACAAAAAAACCAAAACTTAAATCCCAGTTAACTTTTAACTTGGATTCTAACACGAATCTGTTGTGTTTATAGCACATACCACCACCCCCCTCAGTTAGTAACAGTGTTAGAAAGTATATCCTGAAGTGTTCCTGCCACTTGAAAGTTTTGGCACTTTCTTAGAGAACAGAAATTCTGTAAACAGTAAAGCTTGTGTTTGCATTTATTATTAAATGGTAGTATATATAAAATTCAATGAGAGTTCTCTTAAGCTCTTTTAAAAATGTATTTGAAGCTGTTAAAATTTCCTTTGAAAAAAAGAGTTCAACAGCATTGAAACATTTGTGATTATTCAAGAATTGACCATAAACAAATATTTAATTTGATTGCTAAGAGCTCATTTGGAAGTCTGTTCTGTCTGCATTACATGACTTTAATGTAGTATATGACAGTATGTAATGCTTCTGTAAATTGTATTCAGTGACGGAAGAGAATATTTTAGCAGTGTGCATCCTCTAGAGGGTAGCTGTCATGGGGAAAGTTGGAAAAGGGCCCAAATACACGGGTAGGACAGTGGCTGGAGTACTTTATTTTAAGCAACCATGGCTGTTTGACTGCAGCTGTTCAGTGTGTTGACACACAACAATTTCAATACCACTTGTCTATCTGACTTTTGAAACTGTGTGTGTTTGTGGCAGACAAGTAATCCTCAAAATGCTCTCCTGTAATACAGTTAAAAGTAGAATCTTCTAAGGACCAATGTAATGTGCTACATGTTTGGTTGCTACGGTGGTGTGTGTACTAACAGTGCATGTGTCTGCTCTAAAATACACTAACTTAAGATGACCATATGCTAACCAGGGATATCCAGAGTACTAATCTCACTGTCCTTATTTCTGACTCAAGGGATGACTGCTGTAGCAGCCTGTCTGCTACACTTGCTGCATGGAGATTGAGGCATCTGTTTAGGGGTGGGGACAGGGGTGAAGAACCTTAATTGCATTGTTACCTGCTTAGATCTTTCCAAGAGGATAATATTCCAGTAGGATGGTCTGTGTCATCTTTGGCTACTTGGGCTCTGCCATCACTTCAGCCAGCCTGGATTCCAGGCCCCATGCTCCTGTTACTCTGGTTCCTTCAAACAGTGTCATTGTGTCAAATGCTGCAAGAATGAAATGGTTGCAATATTTGTTAGCATAACTTGGGAACTTTGTATGTTTTCTTGAATAACTTAGTAACAATAGGCTAATAACTGTCTGTTTTCCTACTAGAATTCTTACTATTCTTCAAAACCAAGTGATACTTACCCTCACCGACGCATTAGAGGACACCTTGAAAATGCAGGACCCACCAGAAGGCACTTTAAGGTATGGATCAGCTTTTAGCAGATGTTACATAAAATGGTGATTTGATTCTGTTAAGTTCAGTAGCAGGAGACACATTTTTTTAAGGTATTAAATGCAATGAAAACTAGTGTTGTCATAGCCTAATTGTTTCCATTGAAACAATGGGAGGCTTAGCTTTCAGTAGGTAAGATGGCTTGCAATGGATTGAGCAGGGTTGTCCAGTGTTATATCCATGCAGTTGAAGTTAACTGAAAAGTTGAGAATGAGAATTGCAAAAATTGGACAATGACTAGAAAGCTCATCTGTTCAAAAGACCAAGCTGGTCACTTTTCTTTCCTTCACTCAATGCATGTGGAAGCTCGAAATGTTTTGCAAGACAAGATGATGTGAATTGTATTGCTTTCAAAATTGTATTACTGCTATTAGCCCTTTCCTATAGGAATTTCTGGGGAGTTAATCTCTTGTGTATACCCTGCATATTGCTATCTATGCTTTTTAAAAAAAAATTTAAACTGTGAAGCTTTATTTTCCAGGCCTCAAGATGGTAAAGGGATGGGCAACTGTGCTGCTTCTCAGGGTAGTGCAGTGGCTTTCTGATGCCTTTTGATTGTAAAATGTATCATGGGTTCAGCAGAGAAGACAAAAACACTTTCTTCCTTTCCTGCAGACAGTGGCATGCTATGCATGGATCCAGTTGGAGCTCTTTATATTACAAAAGTAGAACAACTACTTTGTTCAAATCTAGAACAACTTAGACTAATTTTCTACCTTAAAATTATCCCTGCTTATTTAACAGATATGTTCTCAGGGTGAAATAACACACAGAAGATAGTCATCTTTCTTGTTTTGTAGATAGTGAAGTTGAAGTAAAGTTTTGATGGCTAAGTTAAGTAGCTGGCATTTTTGGATTAAATTGGGGGGGGCAGGGGGGCACTGTAGGTGTATGTGGTTTTGGTCCCCTGTCTCCCCCCTCCATCCCCTGACTAAACATAACTGTTGGATAAAAAGGCTTTCAGGCTCTCCCATTTAGGTGTGCTTTGTCAGTCAGTTGTAGTCAGATAGCTAAGCTAATGCTATAAAAAAATGTTAACTTTATTCTGCTGAAAAAAGTCTTTTTCCAAGATGAAGATAACAAGTTTTAAGTGTCAGCCTGATACAACTATTTTAACATTTAAGGACATCATATCATCTTAATCAGTATCTCCTCTGTCTTGTCAGCCTATAGGAGATGGAGGGATCTTTAGCACTGGCTGCCATGTCACTGAGGCAGTGTTGGTAGTTAATGTAATATAAAGAAAATGGAAGACTGCCTTGATTTACATCAACCTACAGTTCTGGTGGAGATTATGCAAGCTTGAAAGTGTCCACCTAAGTTGTCATTGTGCATATATATGAATATTGTCTGAATATTGCTGTATCCAATGATCTGTCCCATGGTGCTTTAATGTTGTAGGGAAAATAGCATATGCACTCGTATGGCAGTTTGCGTATGTGTATAGCACATTTATCAGTGCCATGGAAACAGCCGTGCTGATTGACTTAATTTCATCTTTTTTTTACATTTCCTCCTGTGTAACATTCTTCCTTCTCATGCTGTTGCTGAAACCTACTTAGGAAGGTGATTTGACTCTCCTGCACTCAGGAGACTTTCTTGGCTGATTATTTAAAAAAAACCAAGATACAAACAAAACACCAGAAAACCAGAGTCACATTCCCTGCCATCCTGTCCCCTCAAAAAATCAAATTGCACCACATCTCTTCTTGCTATATAAAATGGGGGCATTTTAACTTAGGAAGCAAAAATGGAGATTTGCTTCAAGTATTTTAAAAAAATCACATGTTTTTGCAGTATGTTAAACTTCGGGAAAAAAAAAAAACAAACCAGCAGTTCTAAAGGATTTGGAGAAATCTTCTGAAACTTAAAAGGTCTTTTTTTGTAATGACACTTTGCAATGAATCACTAAGCCAACCTTTAAGTGGGTACATGCACAGTAATCTTCAGTTCTAAACTTCACTCACTGTTTAACACAGTTCAGTGTCTTAATGGCTGTGCTGGGTTCACCCCAGCCAGCAGCTAAACACCACACAGCTGCTTGCCTGCTCTCCCCTCAGCTCCCCTCCACCCCCAGGAGGATGGGAGAGAGAATATGAAGAGTAAAAGTAAGAAAACTTACGGGTTAAGATGAAGACAGTTTATAAACTGAAGGAAAGAAGAAAGCGATGCAAAGGCAGTCATTCACCACCTCCAACAAGCTGACTGATGCCCAGCTGGTCCCCAAGCAATGGCTACCTGTTCCAAAACCCTTCTCCTTAATTTCTATTGCTGAGCAGGGGAATATTCCTTTGTTCATCTTAGGTCAGCTGTCCTGGCTGTGTCTCCTCTTAGCTTTTTGCCACCCCCTACCCCAGCCTACTTGCTGAGTGGCAGAGTAGAGGAAGAAGCAGCCTTGGTAATGTGCAGGCACTGTTCGGCAATAGCCAAAGCGCTGGTGTCATAGATCCAAAACACAGCACCGTATGGACTTCTGTGAAGAAAATTAAGTCCATCTCGGCAGACCCAGTGCAGTGGCATACATTTGCTCATATGGACTTAAGAGCTTTAGGCCATTGGTGCATAGGCATTGTCATTAGCATTATTTATGAAATAGTCTTAATGTAAAACTGGATGTCACTTTAGCAGATTTTTTTCTTACTTTGAGACCAGAAGTTAATGATTTCCATACACCTTAGATTACCTCATTTTGCTCTAAGCTATGTTTGACTGCAGTACCTACATACCAAATGTATATATAGTCTGTTAACTTTGTCTACAGCTGATTCTGTTCAACATGAATAATACCCCTATTCCCCTCCCTGCCCACTTATGGAATATGTAGTACTTGAGGTGAAATTCTTAAACTGTGTGTAATCTCATTTTCAATATCTTGTACCTTTCCTATCTCTTAGTCTGCTCCTTTGTTTGTCATACAAATACAGTGGCAGACCACTAAGGCCTCCTTTCTAACCACCTCTGCCAAAGCAGAGAACCACAGCAGCTGGGGGGGGAAATGGGAATGCTTAATCTTAACTATGTTCAGTGGCTTAATCCATCATTATAACTGATTAAAAATAGGTTTTCCCTATGGTAGGCATATACCTACTTCAGGAATTTACTTACACTTAGTTGTATTGTGCCTGGACTCTGATACTATTTCAGGAAAGGACACAACCTTCTGCAAGTGTCCTCTGCCTACATGCACCATAAGAGTAACCATGAGTTTCTGATGGGGCCAGTTTCTTAGTAATCTCCTGTGTAGTAGGTGGGTGAAATGATTTGGGAAGTAATAAAACCTCTGCATTTGCATAGAGGAACCTCTGTTCTATACAGTTCGTTCTTAGCTGTTTACCAGCCACACAGTGGAAAACAGTGAAAAAACTGATCCTAAACTTACTGCAACCTCAGAGATGTGATTATTTCCCCCCC